CACGTCTGGGAGCTGTCACAGATTAGGGCAATATCGTCTGCATACTCCAAGTCAAGAAGTTGTTCTCCTGGGAGCAGCTCCACACCTTCTAAGTCGTGTTCTGTGAACGCGAATTCCATGAATTCGTCAATAGCGAAGTTGAAGAGGAAAGGTGACAACGGGCATCTCTTGTCTCACACTGCTGGTGAATTTAATGAACGGCGACAACTTTGCCGTAAGCCCTCACTCTGCCCGAGCTATGCGCGTATAATGTTCGGATAATATTCACATATTTCTCCGGCACACTTTTCCTGAGCAAACAGTCACAAAAGGCACATTGATCAACCGAATCGAAGGCACCTTTGATGCCGAGAAACACGACAACGGTGGGCCGCCAATATGTGTGACGGTGCTTCAACAACTGACGCAAAGTACAGATGTGGTCGAAATAGCGACAATATCGAAAAAAGCTGGCTTGTTCCTCACGAATCTGGCTTTCACGAGTGCCAGTCAGTATGTGAAGGATTACAGATGCAAGCAAGTTGCAGACGATGGTGATCAGACTGATTCCTTTATGGTTGCCGCATTCCGAAAGCGAGCCTCATTCGAAGATGGGAACAACAACGGAGCCGCTCCAGTCGGTAGGGACAGTTTCCTGCTCCCACAGTTTCACTAATAATTTGTGTACATCATCAACAAGAGCAGGTCCCCCGAATTTGAAGAGGGCTGGGTGAAGCTCATCTAGTCCCGCGGCTTTGTTCAACTTCAACAGTCCAATCTCACGTTCGACTTCTGAGCGGGAGGGTGGATCCAAAGGGACAGCCTACGGAGCAGGGCGATCACTGGCCGGCGAAGAATCGAACAATTCTAGCCGATAAAATTGCTTTTCAAAAAGTTCAGCCCAAAACTCCAGACGTTTTGACAAATTGTGGGTAGGATGTCTATTCTCATCACGTATAGTTTCACTAACATCAGCTCTCCTCTGCCCGTTTCCCGCATCAGACGGAATAACTTACGATGGTTACCAAGGGCAACGGCCACTTCCATCTCTGACGCACGATGAGACCATCAAGATTCGCCGTCTCTCTTCAGGCTAGCACGGAGTTTTGCCCGCAGCGATTTGCGAGTTTCTTTGTGTTCGCTTCTAGCCGGGATATGCCGACGAGCATTCATAAGTTCCAGAGACCGCGAAGAGACCTAATGTCCAGGTTGGCTATTAGACTCACCACATGAGGATATGTCTGCTGCTAGTAAGGTCTAGTGAGTTTCGATTGCATCCAGTGAGCGCCTACTCAACTTGCATGTTAGCGTACTTTGATAGGCATTCAGAACAGCTGGTTTTGTCAGTTGGCTAGTGTCAATGCTCACACAGCATCCTCGTGGGCGTCCGCCAAAACGCATCCGCAGGTCAGCACATCCAAGTGCATAGGCGGTGTCCACAAATGTGCTCCAAATTGAGCGACAGTTCTGGATGCAGCCTCTCCAGCAGCAACTGTTTGCAAAGTGATCGATTTGCATCCAAGACTGATGGGCGCCATGTCACCCTCCGGCGGGTGCTGTGTCGGAAGTTAGTGCTCGCAAGAAATAAGCGGGCATCTTCACACAAATGAAGTAACCGCTCACCGCCATCATCACGCGAGCCTACATCGTGCTGAGCGCCCAGATGCATTTCATCAGTGGACAACTTTCCAACTTGTGCGTTCAGATCCCCCGCTAGCACAACAGTGTCCGTGCTTCTTCTGTGGAGAAGAATCACGGTCAGTTGGCGGTAGAAGCCGTTCGTTACCGAATCATAGCTACAGTTTGTGGCCGCGTAGGCAACGATGATGAATAGACACCTATTAGTCCTACGCGACTTCGAAGCTTTGAACGAGCTAGCCAATAGGACCGCACACATCCGGATACTGACTGGAATCCAATCAATCAGAGCAGTTTCAGCCCGGGGACTCAGGGCGATGCCAACAATAACTTGGCCGGTGCTCGAAGCTGCATCGTCACTGGATAGACGCAATGAGAAAATACTGCTAGTGTCATCTGAAGCGGATCGCAGAGTGAGCACGGAGTTCGAGTCTTACAGGCGGGTTTCCGATAAGAAGCAGATATCGATCGAGAGGGTCTCTAGAGTTCGGGCAAGTGCTGCCTGTTGACCGATCTGTAGCAATGTGCGAATGTGAGGCATGCCAATCTGAAGGAGGATCGATGGGTCCAAATGGAAGCCGATGAACTGGAGTGAACCGCTTGGTTGGATATGAGCATGTCGACAGGGCAGGAGTGAGGCTCCATGTTTGCATTTGAGTTGAAACTAGAAGATAAACGCTTAGCAAAGCATGTTGGGGGAGGGCCAAGAATCGGGGGTTGAAAACTGGGGGGATACAAAAGAAGTTGGAAGGGGACGATAAGAGTGAAAAGGGTAAGAGGGGGAATGAGAAGATGGGAAGGCTTGAGCAGTAGCATCCAAACCTCTACCCACTCTGCTCGATGCAGCAGATACGGCAACATTTATTATCGTCTGCGACGGCCAGAGCAACAGGAAACTGTTTGAAGAAAAATGCATTGTGGCATTTGGTGTACCCGCTGTGTGATTGGGTTGCGACTCGCAATCTTTATTCAGACCTTGGTCCTCTTTAAAGCAGACCTCGGTCATTAAGATCACAAGGACCGTATCCGAATGGGTGGTTCGGTCTGGCTGCTCCCAATCAGAGGATTTCAAGTTGGAAGCGGATGTGAGCAATCCAATGGGCAAAGGTATATGGCGTTTTAATCGTCAGAAGAAATCCGCAGCACGCACGCTTTCTACGTTGTGTCTATATTCTGTGACTGTTATCACCAATGGCTGAGTCAATACAGCCATCGACCTCTCTCTGACTGATTGTAAAGGTGGGTGCTGAGAATAGGGTTTGTCAGATCGACTCTCAGTGACCCCGAAGGAATGGTTTCGAAGATAATTGGAGATGTGTAAACTATCGCAGCGTACCATTAGTAGTTCAACTGAGGTGGTAAATTGGCAGGATAGACGCTAGGTAAAAATGAAAGTAGACTGAAGGCTGAGACCCCCGCGCACGTGTTTTTACACATTTGTATGCTGCTTAGTTGTGCCCCATGCTGAGGCTGATGTTGCATTCTTGATGCTTCTTCACTGCAGTTGGGCTAAACCAACTTACACTTAAACTAGGTCTTTTTAAGCTGGATAAATTTCATTCAACTTTAGTTGATTTGTTCTGCCTACCTGAATAATCTTCTATTAACTGGCCACGTTGCTTATGCTAATTGCGTTTATCTTCGGTAACTTCATTGCGTTTGTAGCATTTTTAAGTAACGTGTGGACATTTCTTACTTATCACGGATTCGTTGCTAACCAAGTTACTTCATATGCTAATTTAGCGAAGAGTTATGCCACCCACCGTATCTGTATGCATTATTGGATTTATTTTATTTCATCTTGTCGTTTAAAGTGAATGGCTGTTGTTTGATATCCCCGATGTGGCTGCGCTTGATGTGCATGTTGACAAGGTGCCTACCTGTCTATTACCCACTACCTCGTCCATACTGGCTCCAGGAGACAGTTGGTCGTTGCTGGAGGGGACGGGGTGCACGGTCCTTGTGGCCGTGTTAGGATCAAAGCGTGGTTCCATGCACTCAGTGTGGAGTGGACTACGGTCCAACCACCGCCTTGTGTGCGCTTGATTCCCCAAATACAGCGTGCTTGTGTTTGCCTGTGAAGGAGTGCGGACCGGCTCCGTTGATGAAACGTGGCTCCCATCCACATGCCTTCCGGTCTTATTCCTTCGGGTTTAAACTGGATATGGGGTGTGTGGTTGGAGGTGTGGGTGGTGCATTGCAAGACACCCATGGTCCCTCTGTAGGCGCAGGCATCCTGTGGCTAGCCACAGTGACAGGCAAATCCGAAACCGGATGCCGCCAACCATGCTGCTTAGTTGCACTTTATTGAGTAGTAATTTCAAGAAGTTGTAAGCATGATATGGAGTAAGTTAACCCTAACCTAAACTCCTAGTAATTCTTAGCTCAGTTGTGGAGAGTTTGGGAGCTGCTCTCTCTCCACGACTGGCTGGTTTCGTCCTGATCTGTACTCGTCAAGTAGGGATAGCCTGAGCTGAGAGGGGGACCCGACACAGTGGTTGACGGCTTTCGTTTTGATCACTAGGTCAGAGCTTCGCAGCAGCGCTTAACACAACTGTTAGCAGTTGATTATGGGGTCTTGGAGTACCATCAATCGTGACTGCGTGTGTCGCAATCCAGACCCACGGCAGGTACTCCAAGACCCAATAATGAATAGTGTAGGTTTCTTACGTTTCGGGACCTGGTGTCTCATTGTAGTTTCGCCAGTCATACACTTCCGCTTCCTGCTGCGTATGAATGGCATTGTTCACATCAAGCGCGGGGGCTTGTTCCTCAAAGCGATGGTTGCTAACCTGTTGAAGTAATAAACAAAATTCCCCAAGGCGACATTGAGGGACAGTTCAGCTTCCCTCTTGATTATTGAAACAGAGCTCTGTGATCAGCGGTAGACACAGTGGTTAGTTTTGTTCAGGTCAGTTCTAGTGCTCCAAGGTGGTGCTGAAATCACCGGAGTATACCAACAGCAACAAAGATAACCATGCTGCTGAGTAAATTACGATTGTGAGACGCGCATCAATTGCGTATTACCTCGTCGACAACGATGATGCCAACAGCACCAGCATGACTATCGCAGACAGAGAATTCAAAGGCTAAAACTGTGATGCATTCGGTGATCTATTTGAGATAGAGTGCGGAGGGTAGGTTCAGCGGAATTCTCTTAAAAAGGCGTCAGAGAACTTCGTGTTCACTCACTGCCTACGGATACTGCCATCAGTCATGCATGCGCCCGGTTGAAAAGAATCGGTACACGGATGTCGAGATCTTTGCCGCTCCAAATGCTATCAGTGACTTATCTGTAGTGGAAAGGTTTACCATGAACAGCTCCTAACCGATAATTTTCCCAATGAACGAAGTATGTAGATAGCAACAGAAACAAGCGGTACCTGGCAATGATTGAGTCATTATGGAGAAACCGATCCAAGCGATGACTTCATACGTGTAGTTGGGGCAGGCGACCAGATTGAAGAGACGAGTGAGGTACTGACCGGGCACTGGATGAGGGATTTTCCTGATGGTCGAACCAGCCGGACGAAGATTCTTCAGTGCCAAATGGCAACAAAAGTTTCCGTACTCACCGATCTGTCGAAAAGAAACAAAGCAGGTATGGAACGGAAGAACGGTTAGCCATTCATCGGCTTTGGAAGAAAGATAAAAACAGTTGCTGTTGAAAGGATTCTTGTTCTACACTAACACAGCATAACGGAACAAAGTCTGTTACACTATTCTTCGATCGTGGTGTTTTGCAGCAATTATCGCTCCCCCTCTATTTTCTTCATGTATATCAAAATAATTCCTACATCGTCCAACTGTATTGGATGTAAATATGCTGACCATATCAGTGGAACAATGGTTTAATTTGGTTAAAGACGTTAACGCTTAACACACCACACCTGTATTGCGTAATCCATGTGTACACGTATGTATGAGCCAAGAAGTTGGTGAAATATCGTCGGGTAGAGTCGTCAGAATGCACGCCGCATGAGTCCCACGTTTTGGATGGCGGTTTCAGCCTGATTCGAACAGGTAAAGTCAGCTTGGATCAAAACGCTCAGATCCTTTTGCTGGAAGACGTTCGAAGCGCTGAGTTGCCTAGTTTATAACATCGCGTTAGCTGGTGTCCTACATGTAGCACTCTACATTCGTCTAAATTAAACCGAAGTAGATTCTGGATTGACCACGCGTAAGCCCTATCCAGATCGACTTGAAGTTGTGTAGTATTCTTCCAAATATCGGAATGTATTGCTACAACTGTTGAGACATCTTATACTCTTCAGGTGGTCTGGATGACTTTGTGTTGTGGTCGTCTTCCCGGTCACTCATTCCGAACACTTATAAATGCGACGATGTAGCAATCCCTATTCTCCGGCCGATAAATTACAAGTTGTTTTGAATGCCACTTCTTCACTGGCAATGAGTGGCCAACTTATATCCAGGACATCAAGTATCACATATCTTGGAGTAATTTTATTCCAAAATCATTCGTGGTTTGCCCATGTGACCGAAACGTTTCACAGGGTTAGAAGACTATCCTGTTATGCCTTCAGACTTAAAATGTTTCCGGTACTTCATGATTTGACTGTAAATTTGGGACTAGATGTATTCTACTTTACGGATTTTAGTGCCCACTTGTAATTCTTATTGGGCGAGTCAAAAAAGACTACATATTGTTTTTAGAGTCAATAAGACTCATTTGTAGATGCAGTGGATTGTTCAGAAATCCTAAAAGACTTTAATGTCAGCAAGTATGTAGATAATTTTATCAATTTCCATTTAATGTTCGAAACGGCCCTTACCACCCACTTCATGGTGATCTATCGAAACCGCAATATGTTTCCTCCGTACGCTCACAATTCTGTCCTACCGTGTTTGTCGGAAACACTTGTTGACCCGAAGAAAATCAGCAACATGTGTTGTTTCACTCGTAGTAATAGTGGCAAATGCTGAAAATGTACCCCTACGGGTGCATAACGTCTAGCTGGGCTTGAGTTGATTTGGATAGCCTGGAACAGCAATGAAATGCTTATGCCAATATGTTATGGCGCAAGATCAATAGCTATGCCAATCTAAACAACAAAGCATTGTGCTAACGACTTGTGAGAAGCCAAAACAAAGGGGTCACTGAAAATAGTGCAAAACAATAGCAAAGCATTAACATCACACAAACAAGCCATTTCAATGATTCGCTACTACGTGACAACCAGCAGTCGCGCGTGGGCTGTGTATACTACGAGGTCCCCCGTATGTACGCAGATTCGAACCGGTGACTTTCGGAGTACATCGTAGATGCGCAATCCTTTCGGCCATCAGCCAATGCAAAATAGTGCGTTGTCACAAATACTGGAGTAGCAGTTGGGTTGCGACATGCAATCTCTGTTAAGACCTCGGTCATTCCCATCTCCAGGAACATGCTATTTCACTTAATACAGAAGCACCATGACTAACAGTTTCGTCCCGATTTAGACTCATCAGGTAGAGACAGCTTAAGCTGGGACTTGAACCAACAGCCAAATTATCAGCTGAAGTCTTGGTCACAAAGTCACTGAAGTCGGTGAACAACGCTAGACACAGCGGTGAGGAATTCAAAGTTATTACTTATGAGTGGAAGGATTTTGGTGAGAAATTTTGTTCGTCGCAATCAGCCGACAATTCAAATATGTCGAGCAGCTATCCGGAAAAGCACCAGACGGCCGTTTCGCCCTATTGGGGCTCATCAGTGGTGCGCATCCTTCGGTCCTCTGCGGAGGATCGAACCCATGACTGCTATTGGCTCTTGCCAACTAGCCCGCAGCTTATGCAACTGCGCCATGGAGGACGGTATCCGACCATCACCAATTGTTAGCTAAATGCGATATAGCCCGACTCATCCTCCACTGCCATGCAGATGACAGCGGTTGGCCTTCCGGCGTCAGGACTTCCTGGTTACGGCAGCTATGAGTCCACATAGCATTTTGTGGAATCCGTAAGGGCGAATTGGTATTACTTATGAGTGGAAGGATTTTGGTGAGTATTTTTGTTCGTCGCAATCAGCCGACAATTCAAATATGTCGACCAGCTATCCGGAAAAACACCAGACGGCCGTTTCGCCCTATTGGGGCTCATCAGTGGTGCGCACCACTGGAATACCCGCCATGTGGTTAGACTAAAACACGCAATCTCTGGGCCTTGTTGTAAGATATAGCTGAGTGAATGGGCGAGATGAGAAAACGATTCTATTCTTTATATCGATTGATCGATCTAGCTCTAGAAGATAACACAGCAAATAGGAGTCGACTCCACAATAAACAGAGAACAGGATGGGGCAGGAAAAGTGTATCCAAAGCTAGCACTAAGTCCGCTAAAGAAAGAGGATGCGTAACTTATTATTCCACAAACCGGATAACCAGGTAAAGGTTATTCAGGTGCCAACTATAAAGTCTGTTTATCAACACTCAGCATTAAAAGTGGGGTTTCAAAGAGAGAATAAATAGTCACGGTGAACTGAGCTTCAACCATGGCGCACAGTCCCAATGTCCAGGAGACAAAGTGCATCCCTTTGTATGTTGTCGACGATACCGCACCTTCTCCTGGCCGAAGTTACAGTAAAAGTAAGTAAGTAAAAGTAAATCGCCAGTTGTACGCCGTTACGATGCTTCGCTGCCACGCGACCACCACCAGTAGCGCGTGGGCTGAGTATACCGCGAGGACGCCCACCCCTACGTGGATTCGAACCGGTGACCTTATGGTTGCAAAGCAAACGTGCAGACCACTCGGTCACCGGCCCATGCGGTAATAAACTTATGCTTCTCAGTTGCGAGCACGACTAGGGTTTCGAGTGAGAAGTTCGTACAAGGTCAAGAGGCGGAGGCCATTCTTAGCTGGTGACGTATCAGCATCTCATACAGGCGCTCTCAGGTCACATTTCGAAAGCTAAGGAGCCTATTATCCGTTGGCCTACTTCACTGCCAAAACTGTCTTGTTACTTAGAACTCATGAAAACAATGGTGCATCTCTAAATAAATAAATGGACTATTCTTGACAGTGCGAGGCACGCCTGCTTGGGTTTGATCATGATAATATTAACACGAAAGATTGGTTATTGTACAAATATGGTACAAGTTAACAAATTGCTAACTGGATTTATGTATACACCACAATCACTGGCTCCAGCAGACTGCTAATGGTTGCTTAGGGGACAGAGTGCGAGGTTCACGTAGCTGTGCTAGGCTCAAAGAGTGGTTCCATCCAGTGTGTAGAGGATTACGGTCCAGCCATCGCCTTGTGTACGTCTGGAATGTATGACTAACCAATTAAACAGGAATGCTGCTGCTCTGCATACTGAAAGAATATGGGCTGGCTCCATTGATGAAACGTGGCTCCCATCCACACGTCTCCCGGTCTTTTTCGTCTGGTTCACACTGGATTTGGGGCGTGTAGATGGAGCTGTGGGTGGTGAAGCGAAAGTCACCCCTGGTCACTCTGTAGGCGCAGGTGTCCTACGGTCGCCATATGGAGGCCGCAGTGACAAGCAAATCCGAAACCGGATGCCGCCAAGCATGTGTATATGGCCAAGTTGAGTGAAGCTGTTAATGTAACGATGCATGTGTGATTGTGTGATATTAGGTCAACAGTGCAAGATGGGATCACAGGAGCTCTACGAAATAGATGACTGGTGTCCGTGGAAAGGACGGGATCATCTTGCAAAGTAACACATTTAGAGAAACCGCTAAAATGTCAAGTTGGTTGGACTAGCGAAGTACCGTGGAGACCCTACGCAGCTCATTGTGTCGGTCATCTATCAAACCTCGGGAGAAAGTAGTGAGGGTTAAAGGCTAAACTAAGGGTTCGTAATCTGGAATGAAGTCAGAGCAACAGTTTGTAAAAAGGGATGATATGGAACACGTGATTTGCGGCTCCCAAGGTTTCATGGTGTATAAGTCAGTGGTACCATCAGCTGTGCGTTCCGATGAAGATGAAATTGCGTTGCTCAGGACGGCAACACAAGGAGCCTCAGAAATAACAATAGCCAAAAGCCGATCGTGAAGATAGAAGCTAACCATGAATACCAAAAACAGCCCTAGGGCTACGCGTCATAGTTATCCTACACCGAATTGGATTCCAAGTCCACCTCAATAGACTCGTGTAGGAAGCGTCGGGTTACGTTTATGGTTGGCAACAGTGGCCTTAAACGCTCGCTGCTCACTTAGTCTTCTCACCAGATGTGAGTCAAACTACGAAGGCACCGATGGTCGAACGTAACTAGCCTCTTTATGTCCGCTGATCGAACGGGCCAGGTTTCCCAAACGCACATTAGGGTCGAACGTACCGTTGCATTGCACACTCTACCACACAAGGCAAGAGCGATGTCCCGCCGCCGCCATAAGTGATGAAGGTTAACAAAAGCGCCTCGAGCTTTTGCTATACGATTCGTGACCTCGTCTTCACTTCCAACGGCGCTGATACAACGACTTAGGTATTTGAACGACTTCTAGCTGATTCCCATCAAGGGTCAGCGCAGGAGTCGGTCCAGGCCAATCTTGAAGGAACGCTTTGCACTTCCAGAGTGTGCCGGAAAGCCCGAAGCGACTGACAGCCAGTGCTAA